GTGAGCTGCCTTCTTGAAACGCTGCAGTTCTTAAGGTGTAGGAACAAGATTGTGCTATTAAGAAGATCCAGAATTTTGACCCAGCAATCGTAAAGAAACTGTCAGTGTAGTTCCAAGGCTACTTGCCTGAATATTGCACAGATCTTGTTGCACATCAACACAGACTGCTATAGTATCTGAGGAATTGTAAAAGTTACTGAATATTGTGTAATTATCAGCAATCATCCTTCAACTTCATGATGGCGGGAAGGTCAATGAAGTAGCTGTTATGTGTCTTGGAGAGAAACCCATAAAAGGTGCATTCCAATGCATCAGCTTCCCTTTTCCTTTTAGATCATTGAGGTTGCAGGATTGGAAGATGTTCTGAGAAGAGTCACAATGAGTTACTGAGGTGGATCTTATATACGTTACATACTATTTCCTATCTACATTGGTGATGAAAGGAGTGAATGGTGAATGTGGTGGACTGTGTGTCAGTCAAACAGTCTGCTTTGTCTTAGTTGGTGTCAAACTTCTTGTTGTTGGAGCTGCATTCATCCATCAAGTGAACAGTATTCAATTACACTCCTGCCTTGTAGCTTGTGGGTGCTGGAGCATTCAGAACTCAAAAGATGAGTCGTCCCAACATAACTTTTAGCCTCTGACCTGCTTTTTTAGCCACAGTATTTATATGGTTGATCCAGTTCAGCTTATGGTCAATGGTAACCCTTAGGATGTTGATGGTGGGACATTCAGCAATGGTAGTGTCACTAAATATCAAGGAGAAATGGCTCATTTCTCTCGTTGGAGAAGGTCACAGTCTGGCACTTGTATGGTATTAATGTTAATTGTTATTTATCAGCTTAAGTCTGAATCTTGCACAAGTCTTGCTGCACATCAACACAGACTGCTTAGGTATCTGAGGAATTGTAAAAGTTACTGAATATTGTGTAAATATCTGCAATCATCCTTCTGACTTTATGACGGAGGGAAAGGTCATCAATGAAGTAACTGAAGATGGTTAGGCCAAGGACACTTCCCACGGAAACTTTTGAGGTAATCTCCTGGAACTGAAATGATTGGCCTCAAATAAGAAAAAATATCTTCTAGGTTATGACTCCAACCAGCAAACACCTTCACCCAATTCTCAGTGACCCCAGCTTTGCTAGGGTTGGGAATTTCAATATCCACCACCAAGAGTGGCTCGGCAGCAGCACTACTGATTGAACTGGTCGGGTTCTAAAAGACATGGCTACAAGACTGGGTCTGCAGCAGGTGGTGAGGGAACCAACAAGGGGGAGAAACAGACCTGAACTTATCCTTACCAATCTGCTGGCATGACAATTTCGGTAAGAGTGACCACCGCACAGTCCTTGTGGAGACAAAGTCCCACCTTCACATTTAGAATATCCTCCATCATGTTGTGTGGCACTATCACCACGCTAAATGGGACAGACTTCAAACAAATCTAGCAACTTAAGATTGGGCATCCATGAGGCACTGTGGAGCATCAATAGCAGAAGAACTGTACTACAGCACAATGTGCAACCTCATGGCACAGCATATCCACCACTCAACATTTAGGAAGTAGGTAGATGAGTACTTCAAACACCATAGCATACAAGGCTAGGGTCAAATGCATAAACATTAGGTAAGCATTAATAATACCTGATGATGGGCACAGACACAATAGGCCAAAGTGCTTTTATTTATACTGTAAAACTATAGCTCTATACAACATACACTTGTATAGAACAAAAACAAAGTTGCTGGAAAAGCTCAGCAGGTCTGGCAGCATCTGTGAAGGAAAAAACAGAGTTAACATTTCTGGTCCAGTGACCCTTCCTCAGAACACAGAAAGTTCTGAGGAAGGGTCATGGGACCCGAAACGTTAACTCTGTTTTTTCCTTCACAGATGCTGTCAGACCTGCTGAGCTTTTCAAGCAACTTTGTTTTTGTTCCTGATTTATAGCATCTGTAGTTCTTTCGGTTTACATTTGTATAGAACCTGTAACATGGTAAGATGTCCCAAAGTGTTTCACAGAGACAATCTTTCATAATAAGACACAGCAGGAGATATTAAGTTTGGTTAAAGCACCAGCTTTAAAGGAAAACCTTGAAGAAAGAACGACACAAATAGAATTAAGGAAGATATTTCAGAACTTCAGAGGTGAGTGAAAGCATAGTTGCCAACTGTGAAGCAATTAAAATAGGCAAAGCTCAAACAGACAAATGAGAGGAATGCAGTGATTTCAGAACATTGTTGGATTAGATGTGTTGAAGAAGGGCAAATGCTATGATGTGATTTTGAATACCAGTATTATAACTTTAACACTGAGTTGTTGCCAAACAATTAGTCAATGTAACAAATAATGCAGAGGTGAACAGGACCTGGCGAAAGTTAGGATTCTGGCAGCAGAGTTTTGAATGAGCTTTATTGAGGATGCAAAATGTGAGGCAGATTACATTGGAGTTTAGAAAAATAAGGAGTGATTTGAATGAAGCATAAATGATCCTGAGAGGATTTGGTGGCGTGAATGTCGGGTCTCCTCTTGCGAGAGGATCTTGAACTAGGGCTCGCTGTTTAAAAATAAGGGGTCATCATGGGTTGGGAAGAATTTTTTTCATCAAAATGTGGTGGAAACAGTCTTTCAATATTTTTAAGGCAGAGGTAGAAAGATTCTTGTTAAGTAGGGGTGTAAAAGGTTGCTGCAGTTAGGGCGAATTTGGAAATAAGGTTATAATCAGGTCAACCATGAACTTATTAAATGACAGCACAGGCTCAAGGGTCTAAATGCACACTGTTTTGCTTCTAACTCAGATGTTCATAGGTCAGCCAAAAATTTTATTGGAATAGTCTTGTCTAGAGAATCAAAGGCTTTTGACTAATAGCAGGGGTGGAATTGGATGACATTATGGATGTGAAAACAGATGGTCTTGGTAAAGAACAAAGAACAAAGAAAATTACAGCACAGGAACAGGCCCTTCGGCCCTCCAAGCTTGCGCCAAACCAGATCCTCTTTCTAAACCTGTCGCCTACTTTCCAAGGATCTGTATCCCTCTGCTCCCTGCCCATTCATGTATCTGTCTAGATACATCTTAAATGACACTTTTGTGCCCGCCTCTACCACCTCCGCTGCAACGCGTTCCAGGCACCCACCACCCTCTGTGTAAAGAACATTCCACGCATATCTCCCTTAAACTTTTCCCCTCTCACCTTGAAATCATGACCCCTAGTAATTGAGTTCCCCACTCTGGGAAAAAGCCTCTTGCTATCCATCCTGTCTATACCTCTCATGATTTTGTAGACCTCAATCAGGTCCCCCCTCAACCACCGTCTTTCTAATGTAAATAATCCTAATCTACTCAACCTCTCTTCATAGCTAGCGCCCTCCATACCAGGCAACATCCTAGTGAACCTCCTCTGCACCCTCTCCAAAGCATCCACATCCTTTTGGTAATGTGGCGACCAGAACTCTATGCAGTATTCCAAACGTGGCCAAACCAAAGTCCTATACAACTGTAACATGACCTGCCAACTCTTGTACTCAATACCCCGTCCAATGAATGAAAGCATGCCGTATGCCTTCTTGACCACTCTATCGACCTGCGTTGCCACCTTCAGGGTACAATGGACCTGAACACCCAGATCTTTCTGTGCATCAATTTTCCCCAGGGCTTTTCCGTTTACCGTATCGTTCGTTCTTGAATTGGATCTTCCAAAATACATCACCTCGCATTTGCCTGGGTTGAACTCCATCTGCCATCTCTCCGCCCAACTCTCTAACCTATCTATATTCTCCTGCATTCTCCGACAGTCCCCTTCACTATCTGCTACTCCACCAATCTTAGTGTCATCTGCAAGGGTTAGGTCTGTGTCAGAAACTCATATTGGGGTCAAATACAGGACCAAGGATATAAACCACAGCCTTGGACAATTGCCAGGGAGAGAAATAGAATCAGTAGCTCGGGAACGCAGTTTGTAACATGAATAGTAAATACAGCCTTCATGCTCTCACTACTTAGTTGGAAGAAATTTTGGTACCTTCTGTGCGCATAAATATGCTCAGAAATTCCACAAGGTAAAATCGCTTACATACCAAAATAATCGGTCATGGTTTGCATTACTTGTCCAACCAGTCATCTCACTTACAGGATTGTGTGGAGCAAAACCGTTATTTTTCCAAGCTTAAGTGGTTACCTTGGTTGACTGACCAATCATCAACAATCCCGAGCCTGTCTCAGAGACAGATAGCTCAGTTTCATAAGTACGTAGGGTACTATGGCACAGGAAGAGGCCATTGAGCACAACCAGTCCATGCTGGTGTTTATGTTCCCAAAAGTCTCCCCGCAGCCTTTCTCATCTAAATCTACCATTATAATCATCTACCCCATTCCCTCACAAATGCTTGTGTAGCTTCCGCTTTAGGGCATCTCAACTATTTGCTTTAACTACTTCTTGAGTTCCACATTACGCAGTGTCTTACAAAGAAGATTCTTCTGAATTCCCTCTTGGATTTCTTGGTGACTATCTTGTATTGATAGCCTGCAGTTATGCTATTCCCCACAGGAGTTAATATTCAAATTTCCATTCCTGTACACATGATCATTGAGTCACCTTGTAAGGGCTCTTTCTTGCCTTCTTGAAGCAATGTAGTGTCATTCTCATGTTACAACTCCTTAAAAATGTGTAATTCTTCAGTGAAAATATGCTATTGAAAGTTAGGCCTTTTCATATCCAGACATTATTACTGTTAAATGCAAGCCACAAAAATCAAATATATTCAGAACACATTTGTAGGTAATTATAATTGTATTGTAATCATTGTCAGAAAGAAAATTGTTTTTATTAAAATTCCTCAACAACCTAATGATATTGTCTAGTCTTACAACAGAATGAAGCATTATAGAATACTGGAGACTTGATGACGCCTATGAAATCACACTGTACATTCAGTCACTGTTTTTAGGAGGAAAGAATGGGAAAAAGTTAAAGAAATTCATAACCTTGAATTACTTACAAGACTTTCAGGGAAGGTAATCCATGCTTTGTCCTAAAGAGATCCCTTTGTACTGCATACAAATGGTTGTTGCTGATATCACTTTAGAAAGAAAGGATGCATTTTAATATGTAGTCTTTGTATCAAACTACTGTTCAATTTGTTTTTATGTTTTAATTAAACTTACATCAGTTCAATTTCTGGAGTAGGCTGGAACATATAATCTGCAATAAACCTAATCTGATTATAAGATAAAAACCTGTGGTATAAAAAAGAAGAACATGAAAGAATATACAGTTCCATAAAACTCAAAGTTCCAGTGGACTCTCTAGCCCACTGCATAAATACTAAGGACAAAAACAGGATCAGAATTTAAACACAAACGGAGTTGGAAGAACATGAATGGTCAATATCTATTTCTTTTCCAATACAAGCAACCCACAAATTCATAGATAGATGTGTGGTTTAGAGACAAGTATTACAAGCCATGTGGGCAGTATTTGAAGAGTGAAATCACAGAAGGAATTTCATTGATCAGGACTGAATTTATAAATAATGTTATCTATCTTCTGAATTCACTCATCTTTACAAATCAAAAGAGATTAACAAAATGACTGCACACAATCAAGCATGGTGGTAACTAAATTCTTTGAGAGATTATTTTCCAAATTTGCTAGAGTCTGCAATACTGTTTTGGCTCACTTAGTAGCACCTTTGCCTGAGTCAGACAGTCGTAGTTTCCACTCCTACTTCAGAGATTTCAGAATAAAATTAGAGCCTGACATTCTATGGAGTACTGAGAAAGAGTTGCACTATCAGAGGTAGAGTCCTTCAAATGCTACGTGAAACAACCAAACTTTCAGAGACAACCATAGACCTTGTAAGCTCTCAAGTGGATATGAAAGATTTAATGATTAACTTAACTAAGTTAACTTTAAAAAGGTAGAAACAGAAAATGCTGGCAACATTCAGCAGGTCTGACAGCATCTGTGGAAAGAGAAACCGAGTAATGGGCAGAATTTTTTAGATACCGGCCAGCAGATCTGCAGGCATACGGACCCATAAAATTCCTTGAGTGGCCTTCCAGCTGCTAACCAATCTGCAACGAACCTGTCTGAAATGTTATGGGATATGGTTAGGGAAGCCTAGGAGGGCCAATTTATGTTTATTGTTGGTCTGCTTTCCACTTTGCCTCAACTTTGAGTTTGATGGGGGGAAGTAAGGGACAGGAGAAGCCTAGCAATCGAGCCCAATTAGGTTTCAGATGGGAAGTGGCAAGGCTTTTCTCGTGGAGTCTCTTTCCAGATCAGGATTCCGTACCTCCTTGGTCTATGCCCCACCCACCCCCTGTGTGTGGTGCACCTTATCCAAGGTGCTGCCTCATTCCATCCTGACCATTCCAACCTGAACCCCTCTTCCCATGCACCCATTGATACCTGGGACTAACCATCACCCATCACAAGACCCCACATTTACAAGCTCCATCCTATTTAGAATTGAAAACCAATATTGGAACACATTTGGATCTTAGGCATCAGAAATAAATGTATCGAAGATTAAAACAGGGAAATTATGCTGAACTTTATAAAGCTCTAGGCCACAACCAGAATATGGAACCTATTTAGGGTCATCAGGCTTCAAGAAGGATATGAAGATCTTGAGAAGGTGAGCAGAGTTTTATTGGAATGGTTCCAGTGATGAGCAAATTTACTCAAAAGGCTAGAATGGAGAAATTGTGGCTATTCTAGCTGAACAGTTTGATGGGAGATCTGAAAGAGGTGCACAAGATGATAACAGATATAGATGAAGGGACACTAGCCATTCCTGTCAACTGATGATATCATAACTAGGCAACACAGATTTAAAGATTTGAGGCCTTTAAATGTGAGTTTGTGGGGGCTGCATTCAGTAGGAGAACAAACTTTTTTACACAGCATTTATAATGAACTACGACTTATTGCCCAAGAAGGTAGTAAAAGCAGAAACAATCAATTACTTCAAAATGAACTTGCATAGGTGATTGAAGGAATTAAACTTCCAAGGTTATAGGAATAAAGAAGGAAAATAGGACTGATTCTGTTCTAGATGCCTGGTATGGACCACCTTCTGTGCCTTTATGCCTATAAGTTGTTGGACAAGAATGCAAGCAAAATAATCAAAAATTTAAGCGTTGAGCTAAATTTAACTGATTAAATTTACCATTCCTTCATAGAGATAAAGATTTTTAAGACGAGTTAAATAGATTATTGTCAGGCAAGGGAATCAAAGGTTATTGGAAGGAGATAGGAATGCGAATTCAAAATAGAGAAATGGTTTTACTGGTTCAAGGTACCAACCTCAAGCAGGCTCGACGCTTGTCAAGGTCTCAGCAATTCCCCCCAAATGAGGACGATCAAATGTCATAGAACTTCATATGGGCTTACGATCCATCACTCTCAACAACCTGACCTTGAAACTCACTCAAAAACCATTCAGTAATGGACTGCCTGAATAACTGTTCACATTCTCATGGTCCATCTTCTTATCTTGGGAGAAAACACTCTTCTGAATTCACTTCAAGGACCTATGAACCTGCACCCCCAGGTCTTTTTGTTCGGCAACACTCCCCAGAAGCCTACTATAAGTGTATAATTCCTGCCTTGATTTGCCTTACTAAAATGCAACACCTCACATTTGTCTAAGTTAAACTCTATCTGCCACTCCTCAGCCCATCAGATCAAGGTCCTCTTGTACTCTGAGTTAACCTTCTTCACTGTCCACTACATCGCCAATTTTGGTGTCATCTACAAACTTACTGACCTTTCCTCCTGCATTCACATCCAAATAATTTTGACAAAAAGAGGCGGACCCAGCACCGATCCTTGCAGCACACCGCTGGTCACAGGCCTCCAATCCGAAAAACAACTATTCACCACCAAATTCTGTCTCCTATCTTCAAGCCAATTTTGTATCTAAATGGCTAGCTCTCCTTGGATTCCATGTGATCTAACTTTGCTAACCAGTCTAACATGCGGAATCTTGTCAAATACCTTGACGTCCATATAGACAACATCCACCCCTCTGCCTTCATCAATTATTTTTGTCACTTCTTCAAAAAACTCAATCAAGTGAGTGAGACACAATTTCCCACGCACAAAGCCATGTTGACTGCTTAAGGCCTTTCACCCTCACTTTCTGCTGCACTGAACTATTAACAGCACTAGAGATAGTAGGAACTGCAGATGCTGGAGAATCCGAGACAACAAGGTGCAGGGCTGGATGAACACAGCAGGCCAAGCAGCATCATAGGAGCAGAAAGGCTGACGTTTCGGGCCTAGACCCTTCATCAGAAAAGGGGGAGGGG